CATCCAAAATAACAGCATGGCTCAGCAGTCATCCTTCATTTCAGCAAATATCTGCAGAATTGCCATGACCAAGTACTGTGCTACATGCTGGAAATACAGTGAAGACTTGGAAGTTGAAACAAATTTGCAAGATAACTTGGTTAAACCCTGGAAGTCCACATTCCACATAGCTGAGAGGCCTAACCTTATTTTAAATGTTGACTCAAACAGTGTTTGAAGTCAGGCGTGGTAGCACACAGAATACATCTCCACATTCAGCAGGCAAGGCAGGGGGATCTCTGAGATTGAAGCCAGCCTGGTCTACATAGCAAGTTCCAGGCCAGCTGGGGCTACAGGAAGACCATGTCTCAAAAAGACAAACCAACAACAACTACAACAACAAAATCAGTGTTTGAAAGAAGCTGGGTGATCAGAAGCAAATTATCCCAGGCTGATCTAACCTATAGATCAATGGGAAAGGCTGCAAATGACACAACACAGAAACATTCCACTCAACTGGATAAAAAGACAGAAATCAGAGAGAACGAACAGGTTAATCTAGAGATACTCCTAAAAGAGAATGAGGCCAGGACATGTCCTCTGGCATCCTTAGGCTAAGCATGGTTTACCCACTGGGCTTCTGTGGGTACAAAGTATTCATTTAGATCCTTTTCCTAGGTCTATCAAAGTAGATTCTAACAGTCATTCCACTCTCCTGCTGAGTAATGCTGCACACAGAAGAGTCATAAGGAGGAAGGCAGAAAGACAAATCCAGTGGGTGGTAAAGCTGAAGAATTGAGACTCGGGGCGGGGAGGAGAATTAAATGGAAACTGTCCAACAACTTCCCTCACCTTCAGAGATCTCATCAAGGGAGCACATCACCTCTGGCTACACAGCCCCTGCACTTCAGAGGAGGTACCCAAGTCTTGTCTAACATTAATGTTCTGAACAGATGAATGAGAGTTTTAGAACCAAAGAGACCAGAGTTAGAATGCTGGGCCTGCCAGGAGCTGTGTCACTTTCGGCACTTTGCAACCTCTATGAGCCTTTTTCCTCATCCGTGCAAGCATTAAAATCATGTGATATACTCAGCATAAAAAGTAATCAATAAATGGTGGCTATTAGTCACTCATTCTGTATCCCAGGATACTGAGGACAGTTTCCACAGACCTGCTGTTCCATTACAAGACTTAAGATATTATAAGTAGGACAAGGGTAGACTTGGACATGTGCCATTGGGGTCTAAGAAAAAGCAGATTCTTAACATTCATCTGGCTTGAATGTCTTCCTCCTCAGCAAAAGGCAAGCAGACTAGAAGGATAGACTTCACAGAAGGCTACATTCAATCCCATGCTGGCCTCAAGGCATAGCTCTCAAAAGTTTCCAAGTACAGTCTTTCCAACAGGCCTCTGAGGTCAAAAAAATTGACATAGCAGAAGTATTCTGGCCCTTTGATACTGTACCAACCTCATACTAAGAGCCCAGTAAAAGGTAGTCTTAGCACAAAAATAATCTTTAAGGAAAAAAATGAAAGCTCAAATTGCAGTAATTACTATGCTATATTTGGTATGTTTTCTCATCTGTTTTCCCTTCAGAGTTGTGGTGAATTTCTTTAAAAAAAAAAAATTTTTTTTTTTTGAGACAGGGTCTCCCTGTACCCTCAGCTGGCCTGGAACTCACTATGTAAACTAGGCTGGCCTCAAACTCAGATCTGCTTGCCTCTGCCTCCCAAGTGCTGGGATTAAAGGCATGCACCACCATGCTCAGATCCTTTCAAAAAAATTTTACTACATTTATTTATTTTGTGTATGCCTGCACATATGTGTGTGCATAGGTGGAAGCTGGCTCTCTCCTTCCACTGTGGATCTGAGGGGTTGACCTCAAGTCACCAGTCTTGGTGGCAAATGCCTTTACCAGCTGAGCCAACTCACTGACAGTGGAAGTTTTTATTTTTTTCCAATATATATTTTATTGGATTTTTGTGCATTTCATACAATACAGCTTAATAATATGTAGACTCTCCCTGAAGAGAATCTGGAGATTTTTTTTTTTTTTTTTGAGACAGGACCTCCAGCTGTCCTGGAACTCACTATGTAGACCATGTAGACCAGGCTGGCCTGCTGGGATCACCACGCCCGGCTATTGGAGATTTTTTTAATATTTTTATTTTATGTGTATGACTGTATTGCCTGGATATATTTAAGTGGTCTGGTATTGTACAATGCCCACAGAAGTAAGAAGAGGGCATTGGATTCCCCTGGAGCTGGGGTTACAGGAAGCTGTTTACCACCATGTGGGTGATGGGAATTGAACCCAGGCCCTCTGCAAGAGCAACCAGTACTCTTAACTGTTGAGCCAACTCCCTAGTCCCTGTCTCTGAAGATTCTTAATGGCAACAATTTTATCCTATTCATCGATGTACCTTCAATGCCCAACACAGTATCTGGCATATAGCTAGTGTTTAATGCCTGCTGAGTGAATTTAATCAAGATTTTTAACAAGAGCTCTAGTTTCCAACCTTGCCCACTACATTGCCAAATATTTAAAAGTGTAGAAAATGGTCAGATGTGAAGCTTCAACTTCCTGGGGAAATAGCTCCAAGCAGAATCTAAGGAATATTGTACCTAGGCTCCACACAGAGACAATCAGGCTGCCTGCAAGCATAGTTCCCAGATTTCCCAAAGCTACTGAACTCTCTCTTCCTTTCTCAGGAAACTGAGTTGGTCTTCAGATGAGAAGGCAGTGTAGGCACTGGAATGTGGGCTTCATGTTCCTGCATTACTGGCGAGTGTGAAGGATCTGGCACTGCAGCTGGCTGGTGGGAGGGCTGCATCCTACTCTAGGAGGTGGCACCCTCATATGGGCTTTCTAAGAAGCCTCAAAGCTTAAGGAAAGGAGACAGCTACCACCATAACCCCAAAAGCAAACTTGATGGAGATTAGGGATGGGTGTGTCCTTAACCCTCAGAAAAGAAGAAATACTATTGTAACCCTGACTTCAGTCAGATCACTGCATTGGAGCTGTTCTCAGTTCTTTTCGAGTTGAGGCTCAGGCACATTCCTTCCCTGATCCACAAAATCATGTAATATTTATCACTAAAGTGTTTGTGATGGAAAGTGAAGAAAAACATCTCTTCAGAGACAAATAGCTACAAGATCTAAGCTTTTCTGGTGGTGGGATTATGACTGGATCCAACTGTTTAAATTTTTTTTCTTTTTTTCTTGAGCCAGGGTTCTGCTGTGTTGCCCAGGCTGGCCATGAACTTTCAGGCAGAAAATCTTCTTACCTTGGCCTCCTCAGTAAGCTAGAGTTACAAGTATGCATCTCTATAGCCTACCAACCTAGTTTTTATAGCCCAATTCTACCTTTAGCTTTTAGACCAGGCTCTTGAAGCCAAATTTGATACACCTGAATTTCTATGGCCCTAAAGCTGTATTTCAGAAACTGCCTTTGTAGCTAAGAAAAGCCACATCCCAATTTGATGCCAGCACAAGTCAGGCACTGATGACCATACACAGGTGCCCAACTCCTGTGTGAGCTCTTCTGTCTTTTGCTTAGATCCTGTGGGAGTAAAGATCTTAAGGACAAGGCTTGTTTCAAAGAACACATAAAAGTACTGTGCCCTCCAAACCAAGGTCCAGGCAAAAGACCAAACAGTGACACTACACTTCCTGGCCTAGAGGAACAAGACAGTTAACAACCTTTCCAGAAAAGCCCGAGTTAGACACTTCAAGAGATCCTTGTCTTAAACTGGTCACAGTTAATTAAAGCAAAGTTCCTCTCTACTTACAAAATAATAATAATAATAATAATAATAATAATAATAATAATAATAACAACAACACTTTCTTCCCTCAAATGATTTTACCAAAACCAATGGGTGTTAAAATGTTTAATAGACATGAGTCCCAGGCTCTGCAAAGCATTCTATAAAAAGACCTGCACCAAACAGAGTGGAGCCCAGAGAAATCAACACAGCAGTACTTTGCTGCCATGACTGCTGGTACTAGACTGGGGAGGCATGAAAGAACAGCAGGCTCAGTGTACCCCACTGTCAGCATCAAGAGTAGATAGCCACACCCCAGACCCTGTTTTCTCTCTTCCTATAGAATCTGATGCCAACACTTTATTATATTTTACTTAAAGTAAAACATATGGATTTTAAATATTACTATAGCATTTAAGTTGAGGATTCTTTCTTAAGTCTTGGATTTTCTCTTGTCAATCCTTCCCTGAGTACCACAAGACAGAAATAAACAGGTAATAGGAAGGTCTGAGCAGAAGCAGTTCAAAGGTTTGTCAAGAACCCCTTTCAATTTGTCTCCATTAATCCTACCAAGAAGACAAGGGATCCTAAAGAGGAGTGGCTCCTCTTACATCCATGTAGTTACCTTCAACACAAAAGAAAAAAAAAAAGAGGAAAAAAAGGGAAATGAAGAAGAAAATGCTTCTGTAGCTGGGCACTACCCCACCCTGCTCCCCCTGCTCACTCCTTTCCAGGATCAATGCTCTTAACCTTTTATTAAGGCAATTCCAATATACAAGTATAATTACTCAGTTAATTCTTTCAGGGACTATCCAATCTTTACACATAACTCCCTAGTTTTAAAGCCACCAAACAGAATCTGGCCATCTAGTAATCAGCCCCTTAAATCCCCTCCCCCACCTAAAAGTGTTTTGCTTCATCATCTCCAAGACAGGCCTAAGCACCAGGGGGTTAGGTGGATCATTTCTGCATAAGGCTGTAACCTTGGGGACACTTCTCGGGGCCACCCTAGGTGTAGACTAATAACTCCAGGAAACGTATCAGAGTAAGTAGAAAATCCATGCTTGCCTTTATGAGCAGCCATCTGTCCTGCCACACTCAAAGCTACCATTTCCATCTCTTGCAAAACAGCTCCATACTGTGTGTGTATGGAGGGAGTGATGCAAAGGGGGAACAGAACAACTGTTGCTTTGGTTTCTTAGTTCATCACCCCATGCGTCCCCTCCCCCAGCCATCTCATTCTCTAGAACTCACCCGAGTGTGTGCTGCTCTGGGCTGAGGAGTCTGAGTCCTGGGTGCTCCAGGGTCGGTCCCAGCCTGTCAGACTGAGGGACTGCAGGCCAAGGCACAAGTCATTTGTATCTGGGAGGCCACGGGAAGATTCTTGCGCAGAAGTGGGGAAAAGCATCCTGCTTGTAACTGTTTCTTCAGAGTCCTGGAAGTCTGCTTGGAACAGGAGGACAGCAAAAACCCTAGAGTTAAGGGTTGTTTCCCTCAATACCATCAACAATAAATATCCCCAATAGTTTCCCCAGGTTCAGGGGCCAGACATTCAAGCTGGCTGGATGCTGTAGCCGCTGCCTCTGTACTTTTGGGGGCGTTCGAGCAAGAGCAGTTGCCATATAGCCCCCTCCTCACAGACACCCCTATCCCGTCTGCATTACAGACTGGGCAGCATGTGATCAGGCTGCTGATGCTTCCCGCTGCCAGTGACATCAGCCGGCTGAGCCTAGCGATAGAGAGCTAGAGAGCGGCATCATCCCTCACAGAACGGGGGAGGAGCAGGAGGGGATGACTGGGAGGAGACTTGCCTCCCAGGGAAAAGATAGCACAAGAGCTACTTGGAATAGACCCGGTGCGCTGAGGGTAAGGGGTAAGTCAGGGCTGTGAGGCAGCACCCTCCGGTCTCAGCAATGGTGGCCAAGCAGTCCTCAGGCACAACTGAAGTCCTCTGCTGACAGCAAAGCTAAAGCCAAAGCAGCAGACTGCTTGCTTGTGCAGCTCTGCCCTTCTGCCCCTTCCGTTCCCTCCCCCTCTGTTCTCCACCCCCAAACCCCAAAACACTCTAGTCCTGGACTCTCTCCAGATGCTGGCTCAAGCCCTGGCTTTGCAGCCTAGTGCAAAGCTTCACAATCCTACTAGCAAAACAAAAACAAAACCTATGTGCTCCAAGTGGCCCCTGAGCAGCACACCCTGACACAGCAGTGTTTACCACTGAGGAATGGGATAACCTTCAGGAAAATACTGTACATGTGTACCCCTGGGGAACACCACCTGGTGCTCCAGGCTTGACTGGAGCAGTTTATCACAGACAAAAAGGGCCAGTTTTGACACACAGAGGTGGAATTATCAGGCTGTTCCAGGTACCTCTCAGAGGGCATGACCCATAATCCACAAATCAAAGGAAGAACTGCTGCCATCAGGTTCTCTTACAACAAGAATATGGGCATTAACCATGAGCAAACACATAGGCCAAGCGCTTCCTTTCCCTCCTGCAGCTAAAGGCACAAACTGAGGAAACACTCCCAAAGCAGTATCTGGCAGACCACAAAAGAAACAGTCTTGGGTATGATAGCACACACCTTTAATCCCAGCACTCAGGAGACAGAGGCTGGCAGATCTCTGTGAGATTGAGGCCAGCCTGGTCTACACAGCCAGTTCCAGGCCAGCTGGGGCTACAGGAAGACATTGGTTCAACCAAAAGTCCATGCTGAGGAATTCACATCATCTGACAATACTGTTTTCCCTGCATTTGTCCTTTCAGGATCCTTCAGGGTGATACTGGCAAGCTATGAGAATCACTGACACCTTTAACTGCTGAGCTTTCTTCAGAGGCACTGTCCAGGACCAATAATCTATTTCAGTAACAC